CCTCATTTCGTCTCTTTACATAAACATGTGTCCCCTCTTCTTCATGTCTCGTCTTCATCAACAGGGTCCCCTCTTCTTCATGTCTCTTCTACATCAACTGTGTCCCCTCTTCTTCATGTCTCTCTACATCAACATGGTCCCTCTTCTTCATGTCTCTCTCTACTACAACAGGTGTCCCTCTTCTCATGTCTTTCCTACATAAACATGTGTCCCCTCTTCTTCATGTCTCTTCTTCATCAACATGTGTCCCCTCTTCTTCATGTCTCTTCTACATCAACATGTGTCCCCTCTTCTTCATGTCTCCTCTTCTTCATGTCTCTTCTACATCAACATGTGTCCCCTCTTCCTCATGTCTCTTCTACATAAACATGTGTCCCCTCTTCTTCATGTCTCTTCTTCATCAACATGTGTCCCCTCTTCTTCATGTCTCCTCTTCCTCATGTCTCCTCTACATCAACATGTGTCCCTTTTCTTCATGTCTCTTCTACATAAAACATGTGTCCCTCTTCTTCATGTCTCTTCTATTCATCAAACATGTGTCCCCTCTTCCTCATGTCTCTTCTACATCAACATGTGTCCTCTTCTCATGTCTTTCTACATCTACATGTGTCCCTTCTTCATGTCTTCTTTACATCAACATGTGTCCCTCTTCTTCATGTCCCCTCTTCTTCATGTCTCTTCTACATCAACAGTGTCCCTTCTTCTTCATGTCTCTTCTAAAATGTGTCCCCCTCTTCTTCATGCTCTCTTCTACATCAAACATGTGTCCCCTATCTCTCTTCATGTCTCTTCTACATCAACATGTGTCCCCTCTTCATATCACTGTTCCCTCTACATCAAACATGTGTCCCCTCTGTGTAAAGAGACTTCTGAAAGTTTCAGGAACAAAGATTCTCTCTCTTTTTGTCCTGATCCATTTCTATAAAAACCTGTCTGAAAATGAGCTGATCAGATTTTGGCCACTTTATGATGTCATAACGGTTTTTTGTCTTGTATAACCATTAGCCAATCACCAACCACGGTAACCCCCCCCCCCCCCACCTTATCACCTGAATCTCCTCCTAGAGCACCATTGAGTTCTTTGTAACCAAATGTCTCTCAGAGGGGCGTGGGGAGGGGCTCCTTATTTTCATCTAAAGTAACAGACAGAGAATCAGCACTTTGGAAACAGGGCTGAAAAACAGAGGGGATTATGGGATGTTGCAATGATCTGTTTGGTGTTTCAGCCAATCAGAGACATGTTCTGTATCTGGGACCTATAATATATTGATGAAAAACAGTATGATAGGGGACCTTTAAATAATGATACAAACGTCTCTTGTCAGGTGATCGAGGAACCCGTGGAGGTCATCGACAACGAGCGCGAGCTGAAGGGCTTCCACAACATCGATGAGGTCATCAAGCTGGTTGGCTATTTCAAGAGCGAGAAATCTCCTCGTAGGTTTAATGTTATGATCCAAACAATGAGCTTTGAACAGACGATTATAAAAGAAACTGCTTCTATAAACTGACGATTTCCTTTTTTTCTCCGTCCAGACTACATTGAGTTTGATGACGCTGCTGAGGAGTTCCACCCCTTTGTCAAATTCTTCGCCATATTTGACCCCACGGTTTGAATTGTTTATTTGCAGTATTTCAATTGATTATTTTGCGTTAAAACCTCTGCAGTATGCTAGCTAACATTGTTCATATTGCAATCATTGTCTGATTCTGTTCTCCCTTAACATGTTTTCAGATTGCCAAGAAACTGCAGATGAAGCTAAATGAAGTCGACTTCTATGAGCCTTTCATGGAGGAGCCCGTCACTATTCCAGGAAAACCCTACATCGAGTCGGAGCTGGTTGAATACATCGAGCAGCATGACAGGTGAGAGCCTGTGTGGTAGGAGGGCTAGGTAATGCTAGTTGTTTGCAGCAACATCGACAAATAGCTAACGGCTAACGCTAAAGTGGGTAGCGTAGAGTTACAGTACATCAGTGGCGAACCGTGTCTATCACAACTGGACCTTCTGTAGACACCCGAAAATGTGGGTGTTCTGGTCAGATGGACGGAGGCAGTCACTTTGCGTTGGATGTCCATCTTTTCACTGAATGATCGTCTTAAAAAAAGGGTACTAACAACAATCCCGGAACAACATCATCTTTACCTTTTGTCATTTTGACGTAAAAAAAACAATAAAACTTCATATGAATTGCTACGTAGCACTTACACTGGATCCTCTGTCTCGACCCAGTGAACAACCGGTACTTCTAGAGCACCCTGGAACCGAGGGAAACTCTGAAAGAATACGCCCATTGGTTACAAATCAATATATGATTGGTTGATCAAACTGTCAGTCCAAACGTACGCTCTCATTCAGTGCAACGGCCAGGGCATTCGATCAAGGATGTAGAATACCTTGGTTGAAGGATATTCTACCCAGAGACCCAGAACAAGATCTGATTGGTTGCATGTTTTTTCTACCACTGAAATACGTAGTGCATGGACCGAGAAAGACAAACAAATCAATGTAACACTGTAATATTACAGATCAACAACACAGATACGATTCTCGTGTATTCATTTTATTTACATTTTTATAAAATTGTATTTATATAATTAATTAGATTTTTTGTGTGTTTTATTTATTCTCTGAATACCTTGAAGGCCCTGACAGTTCACCACTGCAGTATATTATTACACTTTTCAGTTAAAATTAGTAGGTAAGCTATAGGCTAACGTTGTCATGGCTTGATCTTTGATGTTTGAATGTTTCAGGCCCACACTGAGGAAGCTCGAGCCTCACAGCATGTATGAGATCTGGGTAAGAGAAAAAACTTGTATTTATTCAGTCAAGTGAAAATATAGAACATCCTTGTCTAATCTTTCTTTCTGTGGATCCACAGGAGGATGATATTGACGGAGAGCACATTGTTGCCTTTGCTGAGGAAGATGACCCAGGTACATGTATACCCTAGTGCAGTGTTTCTCAAACTTTTTCATACCAAGGACCACTTAACCAATAAAAAAACACTCGCGGACCACCTAACTCCACAAATATCCAAAAACACATCGTTTTTTACAAATTGCCTGGAAATTGTACAAACAAGTGGCAACATGTGTGATGAAGGTGCTTATCTGGGCTATATCATACAATCGAAAGTGAAACTTAAGCTTGTTCCATTGCGGAGATATTCCCGCGAGAGTGCGTAAAACTTAAATAAATTTATTTATATCAAATGTGAAATGTTACCAATATACTCACGGACCACTAGGGAGCGCTCACAGACCAGCAGTGGTCCGCGGACCACACTTTGTGAAGCACTGCCCTAGTGCCTCTTTAAACGCTATTTTAGCATTAATATGATCTATTAATAGTGATTGAATCAGCAGGACGATCCAATATATAGCTAATTTTTTTGCACACCGTACTTGACATTTGAACTTTTCTTTAGACGGTTTTGAATTCCTGGAAATCCTGAAGGAGGTGGCACGTGAGAACACAGACAACCCCAACCTCAGCATCATCTGGATCGACCCCGACAACTTCCCCCTGGTACGACTGTCTCTCACTTGCACTGTTTATTGGCTAACAGGCATTTTAAACTGTCGTGTTTGTTGCTTTATGTTTTAAAAAACATAATTCGAATTGCACCATTTACCTTACCATTTGTCTGTACTTTTCTTTTAGCTGGTGCCATACTGGGAGAAGACCTTCGGCATTGACCTCTCTTCTCCTCACATTGGAGTTGTAGACGTTGAGGATGTAAGTCACCTCTCCTACCCCTTTCAAAAACCTTAAATTATTAACTCATGTCAAGTTTTATTGAATTCCCGAACAATATACTGATGCTTCGGAGTGTTCTCTCACTTAAAATTGATGAAATTCTTTGTGCCATCGTCAAACATCCTATTGAAAAAAGTAGAGCAAAACTCATAAAGGAACCCTACTATACTGTTTTTCATCAATATATCATAGGTCTCAGATATATACAAACCTTGGTTGCTGATTGGCTAATGGTTAAACAAGCCAAAAAATAGTTATGACATCATAAAGTGGCCAAAATCTGATCAGCTCATTTTCAGTTTTTATAGAAATGGATCAGGACAAAAAGAGAGAGAATCTTTGTTCCTGAAACTTTCAGAGTCTCTTTACACAGAGGGGACACATGTTGATGTAGAAGAGACATGAAGAAGAGGGGACACATGTTGATGTAGAAGAGACATGAAGAAGAGGGGACACATGTTGATGTAGAAGAGACATAAAGAAGAGGGGACACATGTTGATGTAGAGGAGACATGAGGAAGAGGGGACACATGTTGATGTAGAGGAGACATGAGGAAGAGGGGACACATGTTGATGTAGAAGAGACATGAAGAAGAGGGGACACATGTTGATGTAGGAGAAACATAAAGCAGAGGGGACACATGTTGATGTAGAGGAGACATGAGGAAGAGGGGGACCACATGTTGATGTAGAGGAGACATGAGGAAGAGGGACACATGTTGATTTGTAGAAGAGACATGAAGAAGAGGGGACACATGTTGATGTAGAAGAGACATGAAGAAGAGGGGACACATGTTGATGTAGAAGAGACATGGAGAAGAGGGGACACATGTTGATGTAGAGGAGACATGAGGAAGAGGGGACACATGTTGATGTAGAAGAGACATGAGGAAGAGAGTACACATGTTGATGTAGAAGAGACATGAAGAAGAGGGGACACATGTTGATGTAGAAGAGACATGAAGAAGAGGGGACACATGTTGATGTAGAGGAGACATGAAGAAGAGGGGACACATGTTGATGTAGAGGAGGCATGAGGAAGACGGAGGACACATGTTGATGTAGAAGAGACATGAAGAAGAGGTGACACATGTTGATGTAGAAGAGACATGAAGAAGAGGGGACACATGTTGAGTAGAGGAGACATGAAGAAGAGGGGACACATGTTGATGTAGAGGAGACATGAAGAAGAGGGGACACATGTTGATGTAGAAGAGACAATGAAGAAGAGGGGACACATGTTGATGTAGAAGAGACATGAAGAAGAGGGGACACATGTTGATGTAGAAGAGACATGAAGAAGAGGGGACACATGTTGATGTAGAAGAGACATGAAGAAGAAGGGGACACATGTTGATGTAGAAGAGACATGAAGAAGAGGGGACACATGTTGATGTAGAAGAGACATGAAGAAGAGGGGACACATGTTGATGTAGAAGAGACATGAAGAAGAGGGGACACATGTTGATGTAGAAAATAAATGAAAAAGTGGATTTTGCATAATAGGTGACCTTGAAGCTACCTTTAGCAGCGACTTATCTAAAGAGATGGCCCTTTTTTGTAATCATGAACAACCTGTAAACAATACTATTCAACTATTTAGTACACTGTAAAAACACAAACGTTTTGAATTGCGATAAAGGTTTATTAATATGTATATGATACGATATGTACAATCAACCTAAGTCACTATTTAAAGGGGGCTATTTTACATATACTGTGACTATCATTGGCAGGCTGACAGCGTGTGGATGGAAATGGACGATCAGGACGACATGCCCACAGCTGACGAGCTCGAGCAGTGGATCGAAGACGTTCTGTCCGGAAAGATCGACCCAGATGATGATGATGATGAAGACGATGATGACGACGATGACGACGATGAGGACGATGATGATGATGACGATGATGACGATGATGACGACGTTGATGACGACGTTGATGACGACGATGATGATGATGATGAAGATGATGACGACGACGACGATGACGACGATGATGAATAAATGTTTACTACCATCTTTCACTTTACTTTAACGGAGCCAAACATGGCCGAAACCCAAAGGTGGCAGTTTTTTTCTTGCAGCAAACACATTTTGTGTTGTTTGCCTCCTGTATGGATTTCTGTAAGGGACAAACATAATGACCCTATGGGAATCTTTTACCGTGAGTCAGGGAAGGAGATTGTTAAAGAAGCAGAGGATTTGCATCTATAAGGGAACGGGGTGCAGCTAAAATGTTACTGTTACTGTTTAAAATGCTAATATCTCACCTCTGTGGTTCATAATGAATGCGAGCTAGGAGGCTAACAGAGGATAACCTTCCTGACATTTCCCAATTTCTCCAACTTACTGATACCCTGATTCAATGTCATGTTTTCTACTTGATGAAGAGAAGAAACAAAAGCTCACTTGTACTATTTTCAAAGTGATTAAACCTAAACTCACTGGACAGTCTTAAGATTATTACAATCTTGGAAACTATTAAGAAACCGGAAAATGAAAAAAATACAAAATAAATTGTTTTCTGCTCTCATATTAAAAATGAAAGTTGAAAATATTTTAAAACCATTGTTGTTTGTTGTTGTCCTTTCTATGGGAAAAGCATTACTTTTTATATGTGTGTGTGCTATGTGGGTAATTCAGTTTAACCATACATTTATGTGTTGTATTATTCAGGAATTAAATTAAATCAATATGCAACTTACTTACTTTTACAGTTGTACAGCTAATGAATAGACTTAACTATTTAGTTACTTTGTTTCCTCACAAATTGAAGGGAAACATAACCCTAACCCTGATATTTCTAAAATGAAAAGTCGCCCACGATCTGCCTGATATGCTCACAAGTGTGATTTTCCTTATTAATAATACCATCAACTTCCCTGTCAGAATCAGCATTGGGGTTGAGGGGGGTCCAGACAACTTGACTAAGAAGACAATATTTGGTCTAGACAGACTTTTTTTTGTTCGTAAAGGCAGGCCAAGTCGCCTACCTGCAAACCAAGGTCATTCCCTTCAGACTAATCTGTGCTTAGAACTGTACAGTTGTAGAATAATGCAGAGTATTGCCCAGACGAAGAATTACACTGGTTTTGTAGTCGAAAGTAAAGAAGTTATGTCTCAAAGCTGTGTCAGAACTAATATTTCCATGCAGGTATCAATTCACTTGTAATATGTTGCAAATTACATAAAACTAACTCTCCTTGAGAGAAATCAGCATATTGTGCCGACCTTTGACCACAGCACATTGCATGATGGGGCAGATAACTGGGCAAATACAGGGTTCATGCATCTGTAGACAGACACAGGTCTAGTTGTTGGTGAACTTAAGTGCAAATACAAACGTTTGGGGAATCAATGACACCACCTTTAGTGTTTTTGGTCAAAATAAGTTCCAGAAAAGAGTAAATAGGGATATGATTTTTTTAGATGCAGACACAATGTTTTATGTTGTTTGTGCTGCATGTCATTAGTCATATCTGAAGTCTGCGTTCTGTTTATGTGCCTGACCATAATCCACTTAGAGTGTTTTTGTTAACATTTCTCTCGGCTGTCAATGATTAACGGATTGCCAGAAAATGCGGTCAATACTATTTTCTTATTGCAAAATAACCCTTTTATCAAAACTGATGTTAAACATTAAGAGGTCCCTATAAACTACATTAAAGCAGCCAGAGGGATCACATCCTTTAAAGTTCAGGGGACTGAGCGACTTGTATCAACTTGAAGATGAGTTTGACCATTTTACTGATTGTGTCGCTGTTTTGCGGCCTGATTTCAGCCCAGGGGGATGGTAATACTACTAAATATTAACACAGGGATGCTTTCCTGACATATGCGAACTCCTAAATTAAGAGAAATTAAGAGTTATGGAGACCAGGATGGAAGATAGTGAAACAAGACTGAAGGACACCAAAATGAGACTGATGGTCACTGAAACCAGGCTGACGGAGAGTGAAACCCAGATTCTTGAACTGAAGAAAGGTAAAGTCAAAGTTTTCGGCTGTCTGACGCTTAAGCTGACGTTCCAGGAAAGAGCTACCTAAAATGGACGCCTGATTGCTGAGTTCTCACAGCTGATGGGCGACAGCAGAGTGGCCCTGCCTGTATTGTAATGCAGGCTTGAGTGCCCACTGCGACCTGTGTAACAGGTTCCCTTGAGCAGATCTGAGATTTAAAATCTCTCAAAAGCGCCGTTTTAGCTACAATAACTACAGAACAATTATACAGAGTAGAATAAATGAAACAAAGAAGTCTAATTAAACAAGAATATAATTTACAGTGGTTGCTGCGTCAATAGGTATTGTCGTCACCCGGTCTAGATGCACACTTTGCATACACTTTCAACAAACAGGTGTGTGTACAGTTTTCTGATTAAATTGAAAATAGCCGAGAATCTAGATGTTAATCCCATGTAGCCACAAGTTATAATTACTTTACATTACATTACATGTAATTTGTTAGACGCTTTTATCCAAAGCGACTAAAGTACTGTGGACAATCCCCACAGGAGCAATTTGGGGTGAAGTGTCTTGCCCAGGGACACAACGACATGCTGACTGAAGTGGGACTTGTTAGAAATTAAAATCAATGTTGATATGGCGTAATTTGAATTAAATACACTATTTAATTTAAATCAGTTTTATTCTGAAAAACCGGAAGTTCACTAACTATTAACTTAATAATTGTATTCTGAAAATTATTCACTTCCGGTTAGCATTAGCATGTGGCGAAATGCTGCATTTTCAAACCGTGAATCAAAGGTGAAATTACATGTGATGTTGTACACTGAGCACACTGGGTTTAGCACTCATTTATTACCGCTGAATAACGTTTATCAGGGAATGTTTAAATAACCACAGACACCAGAATGATATAATTTAACAACAGAAAAAGGCAGGAGTTGCATTGGACCCGCCCCCGACGACGCCGGCCAATAGGAGAAGACCTCAGATGACAGCAGGAAGAGCAAGCCAAGAATTGACCTCTTCTACCTGCTGACCTGGACTGACCGGAAGGATGAGGAGAGCGCCTCCACTCGCACATTTCATTTTGTACACCACCGCATCTTTTGTGTAATTAAATGCTGTTAACTTTTATAAGCTTCCCTTGACTCTTTTCAGTCTCTCCTGCCTTCAGGGTTCTAGAATACACTAACAGACTCGAACTTGCTACCCCATGAGTATAGGTCAATAAGTAACAGGTGTTAAAATGCAGCATAAGAACACATAAACATGTTTTCATGTAAGCAAAAAAGGCCTAATTAAGCTAAGCTTGACAGAGGTTTAGAACTGGACTCCAATGTCTTCTAACCCCTCTAAAAACGTTTTAACTCCTCCAACACGGGGGTGGACGAATCCAGTTTGGATTATCCCAGCGAGAATAAACAAAATGGGTAGGAAGGCATTGTTCACCAACTAACTCACAATCCACCATCACATAATCATCATCTGTGCGTACATGTGTAGCCCTGCAGGTTTTGGCGTAGAAAAATACATTGACAATGTAAAGGTGTGTGGGATTGGAACTGGCACATTGTATCCCTCTACATGTATTGAGTTGACAGAAATACTTCTTTCCAAAGGCGGTCCTCGACGTGAAGGACTGAGTAGTTCTAGTGTAGTCGTTGCAGAGGCCATACCTATCTGTACCTGTATAAACAAGATCATCGTTTCACTGCAAAGTAAATGGCATTGATAAAGTACAACACTTATGACTGAATCAGTAGTGTGGTACCTAAATGAAACAGTCCTGCCTTTAAATGCAGTTAATATGAATCTCCATCTTATGCAAATGCATTTCTAAATAAACGTATTGACTTAACCATTTAACTCACTCTGTCCAGGCAGCCAAATCTGCTGGAATGGCACCATCCTGGAAGACATGCTTGCAAAGAAAGCTGTTGAACCGATTTAAGCCTCCGTTACACTGTTCAGCAGTTAAACCATCAACAAGGGCAAGAGTGGCCATGAAGATGATAAAGACAGCGATGGTCATCTTGTCTAGAGCGGGAGAACGAGAAATATAAAAGTAAGACGTTAATGTATGAAAATACAATAATGTATTAATTGTATTATTGTATCAATTAAAACACAACATATATTCTTCAATATGTTTTTATTACTTACGTGTTTGTAGGCGAGCGAGCAGAGATCTGTTCCACTTCGATCAGTCAGCTGGACGATTGAATCCTCAGCTGGATGGAGCTGCTTTAGTAGTTTCTAAAGAGGAAGTAGCCTTGATCTTCATCTTCTCAAACAAGCTGAGTCACTTTGTTCTCGTGAAAGACACACAAATACTGGGTTCCTCTTATCCCTCGCCTTGTCACGTAGTTAAAATGGTAAGAAAAACAGGCCCTTTCCCCAGCAAGATTTACAGAGGAATACCGAGGCGTTCCCAAGCTCATTGAGATATGAGCTCCTTCCTGAGGTCTAAGCCCCTTTGAGGTGAGCCCGTCACGACCAAAAGACCATGACCGTTGTTAATGGTTGGAAGGGTTAGGGTTTTGGGGAACGCGCGGCGCTCCATATTTAAACCTATTTAAAAACTCCTGTAATAAAACCAATAAAAGTTTATAAAAACCCTGTTTGGTCTGTGTTAATTTGTTTTAATGAAATAAAGAAATTTCAATAAAAGGGATAGAAGAGAGCAGCGGCTGAAGCACAGAGTGTATGCGGCGGGGTTAAAACATGTACTCCTGCTCCCCCGGTGGGGTGTCCGAGGCTGTGTCCCACAACATCTGGTAAAAGACCTGGTAAGTGGGTTAAAAACATCCGGCTAAAAGTACAGAGGTTGACTTTTCTTTAAATCGGCATGCAGGTAAAATTAGTGTGAACAAATAAATGATAAATAAATACATAAAAGTGCTTAGTAAAATAAGTGCTTTTAAAAGTCAGTATTGGTAATAAAAATCACATCAACCCAAATGTTAAAATATGCAAGATATAAAACAATATGTAAATCTCAAATGTAGAATATAAAATATAAAATATACACGGGTTACTGTAGTAGGCATACGGGGAGGGAAATATTTTAAAAATAAAGTCAACCAAGTGTCCCTAAAAGTGTTTAAAACCCAGGCCGAGGTCTAGAGAGGTGGTGCAGGTGAGACATGGGACACGCCTCGGATGATGTTTAGCATTGTTCAGCCCCAAGCCTATTTTTCAGGTCTCAGGCTCGAAAATGACATTCCCAGAACAAATGACCATATCTTCCCTTCTAAAAGGGTTAAATTAATAATTTTTTTTCTCAAAGTAATGATAAACCTGTGAGTTGGATGTAGAATAGTCAGAATCAATATAGATGTTTTTTATTTTAAAGAAAATTCAGATTGAACATAGTAAACAACTGTAAATTATAGTGTCCGTCCAAAAATTATTTTTTACTTATAGTGAAAACTACCCTTGGATAAGGTAGACTAAACGCTTTAGGAATCCAAAGTACAACATATAATAAGTACCCTGTATCAAGATTGATGCAAAACAAGTGACATTTGACCTTTTTAGAGAGGTTTAGCAAAAAAACTCCACCTCTGAGGTGATTTGGGTGGAAATGGGGGTTTTACCGTTTCTCTGGAACCCATTGGTCGATTTTGGTGATTGACATCTCTTTCTGACCGTTAGAGCCAATAGAATCAAAGGGGAATCTCCCCACACACACACATGGTAAAACAAAAAGGTGGGGCTTTGCGCTACCAGTTTTGCATGAGAGTGAAGCTGTCTCTAGGTCTGACATCTGAAAACCGAAAAGCAGGTTTATTGCTCATGGATTATCAGAAATCATTTCAAGGGGATACAGACACATTGGATTAACCTATGGATTAACTTCAGCATCGTTTTTATCGTTTTAATGCCATTGAAGACCACTTTGGACCAGACTACCACACAGGTGAGCCATGTTAGCGTTCTTGTTATAATCTCCGATAATTCGTATCATTGAGTGATAATGAGGGTACCCCTCGATTCTGTGTCCCCTCACGATGTGAAACGATGGGTTGAAATGTGCAGCAAAGATAAATAATAAGGTTTTGTGAGTGAATTTCGGTGCAGTCATCTGTTAGCATTTTTCGCTCGTTGCTAGTTCAGAGGCTCAGCGTTAGCATTGTGGGGTTTTTTTTGAAAAAAAAAAGAATGATCAGTTAGATGAGTTTCTTCCCGTAACATGGATATAAAACATTCATAGTTTATTAAATAAACATGCACTGTTTCCTGCAAGATGTTGCAGGAGGGCCCCGGTACCGGGGTCTCTCGGGCTTAACAGGTTAAAGGGGTTATTTCAGGGTGTTATTAATATATAAAAATGGGTTTGGAACGTTGATCAATGGGAAAGTTCAAATCTTTGCCTTCTGGCTCAGCTAGCTTTATATTCCCCAAAACTGTTGAGTGCAACGCTCCCACCACAACAGAAGACAAACAAATTCACCTGTCGATTTCGCAATCCAACTACCCTCATCATGACCGCAGGATATTCAAACTCCATGATTTGGGGAGGCAATTGCTCCCAGTCGTCACAGTAATGGGGAACAACCCCAAAGTTTCCCGGGAAGGACAGTCTTATAAAATAATATTATTATTTTTTTGTTGGATCTGTGAAAAACAATACCCAGCAGGAATTACTACTTTTTTTGGATATGTATTACTTGTCTAGATAAAATACATGTACATCTTGACTTGTTTATGGTCAGTCTGTAATTGGCCCACAATCTGCCTGCTATGCTCACAAGTGCGATTTTCCTTATTAATAATACCATCAACTTCCCTGTCAGAAGTCAGCATTGGGGTTGAGGGGGATCCAGACAACTTGACTAAGAATACCATATTTGGTCTAAAGGACAGTGAACAGCTCCAAAACAACACTCTTACTCAATAATGTTCTCAAACAACTTTCTCTGAGGCAGTAATCGTCAGCTTTCAAAAGAAGATTAACCCTGTGTCCTTGCATCAACTTTATCTTGGGGCGGTGGTGGAGAAGTCTGTGTTTTGGGACACAAAAGGTCACCGGTTCAAGTCCCTGAAAGACCAAGTGCTACAGAGGTGTCCCTGAGCAAGGCACCGTTCCCTGCACTCCGTACATAAGGCAGCCCACTGCTCCTAACACTAGGGGGGGGTCAAATGATGGTAAATGTCCCCTCTGTGGGACGATTAAGGGTTCCTTCTTCCTTTGCTGGAATGTGGTTTCTGTCTGTTGTGGTTAAAACTGTTAACTAAGGCCTGCATGAGCGCTAACTCTCACATTATGCTTTGGTGACAGGTTCTTTCTTTGTATAGTCAGAACTAAATCTAAAGTCCTTTGAGCTTTCACAGTCGAGACATCTTTGATTAGAAACATATTGACACTTCGGTCACATTTGGTATACACTTTAATTATTGGGAGAAATATGTTATATGATTTTGTTTATGTATTTTTTCTGAGCCGCCTTGTGCTACTTGTTTGCAATACTTTCTTAAATGTCTTATACCCCTTCAGTCTTTTGAATTGCCCTGTTGTTGTTTAAAGGTACAATTCAAATACATCTGTCTTGTAAGAACATTGTAAAACTGAGACGTTTTCAATCTTTGACCCCAACACTAGAGATGTCCCGATCCGATCACGTGATCGGGGATCGGAGCCGATCACGTGATTTTTAAAAGATCGGTATCGGGAGAAAAAGATCGGGGATCGGGAATTCTTTCACACACACATACGGGTTTTGGGCCGAGGGCGACACCGTACTTTCGGTATCCACCATTTCACACGAGGTGCAAGCAGAATATCATAGTCTATTGCCTTAATCAATATCTAGTCAACTCTAAAATACCACATATATGCATTGGCATGATAATATTATTGTGACAAGTGGGGTATTCACCTGGTGAAGATAGACGTAGATGCTGCCAAAATCGACCGAAGGCCACTTTCGAGAGTCGTTTTTCCATACATCTGCAGGCAGTCTGTAAGGGCAATCCGACAACCCACACAGCTCTAGTTTACGCTGGTAACGACCTAGAGCACACCCCTCAAGTCCAGAGATGTAATCCGAAGACATGCAGCGATTTCTTCGGTCGTTAATTCAGAAAAAAAACCTAGTGCGCTCTGCCTGGCTACTTTACCTAGCTGTTTATATTAGCACCTCCAGGATATTAGCACCTCCAGGAAAATGGCGTATTTATATATATATATGGCGCGCGTTGCATTGTGGGTAGCTCGTGACGTCACTGTGTGTGAAAGAATCCTTATAAAAATTATTTTATTTAATTTTACAAAACAAAAATGACCATGTTCACGTCTTAAAGTCATCCTGAGGCCTTAGTTTTGGTTTAAAAGTACACAACATCATGTGTGTGTTGCTTCTTTTGGGCTTGCTTTTATAGACCAGGGGGGTATACTACGAAGCAGGATTTTCGCTTAGCCGGCTAAATTCAGGGAAAACTCCGGCTTTCCGGTCCTACGACGCTGGTTCTCTTTTTAGCAGGCTAGATCTCCATGGTAACTTATGCTTAGCGGCTAACCTGGTCGGGACCAGGTTAGGTTGCAGGCTAAGAGCTCAACTCAGTGAAAGCACTGCCTGCTGACCAATCAGAGCTCAGTGTGCGGAGTTTAAAGCGATCAAGTCATATTACAGGAGAAAGGAAATACAGAAAAGCTGCCGTCACAGGAAAAACGGCCGGCAAAAATCACCGACTGTGTGAACGTGAACATTAATAGAATATCACCTCCCATCTTCAGAGCAATCTGACTATTATAACATTAGCGTTAAGAAAGCTTACTTAAATATCTGCCACATCATTTAGTAACCGGATCAGAGTAACATTAAGTACAGTCCGCGGCATATCACTTCATAATGTATCATATTTTCTTATCTGAGTCAGCTGAGCCGTATCGGGCCGTGCAACACTCACAGTGTCACATACTGTATGCAGAAGCATTATTTTAAGCAACACATTAAGTTGACGAAACACTCGAGACAAATGTAATTAAAGTCAAATCGTGTTTTAGACGGGGCAGTGATATCATAAACCTGTTAATGTACGCATTCAAACACTTTTTCTTTTGCCAGCTGTATTCACCTTGCAGGTGCAGACTATGTGGCTTTTATCCTGGATAAAGTGTTTAAGTCATGGATGTTTAAAGTTTAACTTCTTCATTTTTGACTAGTATTAAAGTTCACTTTTCATTCAGGAAGTATGACGCTGCGCTGTCAGTACGCTTCTCCATGTTTCTGATTGGTCGA